TCTAACTCTTTATTAAACTTCCCCCCTTGCCTTCCACAATGGCCATGAATCTAAAATCTAAATTCTTATTTAAACATTCCCCCCCAATGACATGATCTAAAAATCTAACCTCGTTATTTAAACTTCCCCCCCTTGCCTTCCACAATGCCATGATCTAAAATCTAACTCTTTATTTAAACTTCCCCCCCATTGCCTTCCACAATGCCATGATCTAAAATCTAACTCGTTATTTAAACTTCCCCCCCCCTCGCCTTCCACAATATTCCACAATGCCATGATCTAAAATCTAACTCTTTATTTAAACTTCCCCCCTTGCCTTCCACAATGCCATGATCTAAAAGCTAACTCTTTATTTACAGTAAACTTCCCCCCCTTGCTTTCCACAATGCCATGATCTAAAATCCAACTCTTTATTTAAACTTCCCCCCCTTGCCTTCCGAAACGCCATGATCTGTAGTAGTAGCATAGTAGTAGTAGTAGTAGTAGTAGTAGTAGTAGTAATAGTAGTAGTAGTAGTAGTAATAGTAGTAGTAGTAATAGTAGTAGTAGTAGTAGTAACTATGAGAGAGGTACAAGCGAGAAAAAAACGGAGGTACAAGCGAGAACATTTTGGAGGCACAAGCGATGCGGCGACCAAGAATATCTAGTGTTCCACTGCCAGCGTCGTCATTCTTCTTCTCCTGAAGTTTCTTCCAAAAAATATCGCCTCTGCCTTGTTCACACAGCCTAGCCACGGTTTCCCAATTTCCAGGTTCATATGCTCGTCTGTATTTCTGGCGGAGTCGGTTGAGCACAGCTTTCGCATTAAGCATATCATGTCGCGCAGGTAGTTCAAGATGGGGGTTGTGACGAGATCTTCTCCAAATTCGCTTCGTTCTTGCAAAATGGGTTTCCGCATGTTTCAGAGCTGGTTTTTGTCGCCATGAATCTTTGGGGGCTTTAGTTTTGTAAGCACAAGGTTTCTCCCACTGTACCACAGAAAGTGTTTCAAAAGGTTGTAGAAATGCACCAACGCAAGCTTCAACATTACAGGGGTGCGCAAAATCTTCACTATCTAAAATGAATTGCATGTTGCGAGATGCCTGTTGAATACTTATGGTTCATGTACTCGTCCAAAGTCCGTTGCAAAATGCCCTCGTCGTCTAACGCCAATACAATAGGTTGCCGTCGCATCTTCCAAATTCTTTTCTTGTTGACAGCTAACACACCTTTTATACTCGGCCAATAGCCAGTCGGTGAGGTGTCTACAGGATTCCTCTCTCTCTCTATATTATATATATATAATCTCTCTCTCTCTCTTTCTCTCTCTTGAGCCGTGACAGCTTATGTAAATGTGCTCAATACTCATGCTATATCCACATAGGATCCAAGCCAAAACAAAAACAGTACCCCCAAAAATTTTATAATATACTTCATTTGACTTCTGGAATTGTGTGACCTAGATTAAGTTTCCCTCTGTCTCAAGATGCAGCTCCTGGGTAATGGGATGAGCCAAGGCTGGCTCCCAAGTTTTGATACCTCAACGTTGGCTACATGGCACCATAGTGCTTGGCAGCCATGAGCACACTAAGACATCAATAGACTTGACACCATGTCTGTGTGTGAAATGCTTCCTGCATCTTGCATGTTTCCATGTGTTTGGCAATGTGCATCTGCTAACCCTCTACCTGGCCATGAGGTCATGCTTCCACATTGAGGCAACTTCCCACAAATTTCAATTCATCAAGATGTGAAGCCACACTTTCTTTTGAGTAGTACATAATAGTACATAAATACTGCAAATATCTGAGCACCAGAAGCACATAGAATTACCATGAAATCATTGTGAAATGCATGGAAACGTGGCTGCACTACCGCGCTGCACCTCCTGCAAGGCCAATATCGCCTTCTTCAAAATCCACTCGCTGGTCCAGCTGCAACGACTTGATGAAATGATTCCAGCGCTTCATTGGAATAGCCTGCAATCTGCATCAGCTGCAGAAAGGAGCTGTGGGCGACACCAGCTGTCCCTACCATGCTCTACCTGTACCACTGCATACCACTGCTATCCGCTGATTTTAACGATTTTTACTGCACACATGTATAAATAACGGTTTCCAGTGTCGTGTTTTCCACTTTTAAGAATTGAATCTACAAGGACTTCTTCGTTCCAGAATCTGTTGTCAACTCTTTCAAAACCTTTCTGTAGCTTCGCTGGGCTTAGGCGCCTTGAGAGTGTCCAGGATGACTTCTCCCCTGGCAAGCCTGGTCAACAAGCTTCACGAGTTCCCATTCACCTTGTAATTTCGGTCTGGGAAAGACTATATACATAATTTCAAAAATGGGAAAGTATCAGCGGCTGATGCCAATGCCAACCCAGTGACTGCAGATGGTCACCTAGAGAGAGAGAGGGGGCTCCTAAATTGCTGCCAAATGACATGGCGTATCCTTGAATGTCTTCAGCCAAAGCTGTGTAGACACCACGCAACTGCCTGGCACACACACACACAAAGTGGTGTGCAAACATAAAACATGATGAATCCATAGATGTTCAATAGATTTTCCAGCTTCTGAACCATGCACGGCTCATGGGAACAGCTGCAGTGAGCCAAGGCACGACACGAGGAGATTGAAGAAGAAACTGTACACTACGAGCATGTAAGCCACAATGACCTCAAGAGAACATAAGAGAACTACATCTGGGATCATCTACAGTTGATCTTTGCATTTCACACATCTTCACACATCTTCACACATCTTCACGCCACCCTCTTAGTTCTTTCATGTTCTTTCAAACCTTGTCAAGCCTTACCGCCCTTTGTGCATTCAAGCAGGTTCCACTGCGTCATGCCCTTGCTTTTCAATGCCAGAACTTCCTCTTGTTCTCATGCGGCGTTGTGACCCTCCAAAAAAAAAGACCACTCCAACTATTTAAAACCCAGTGGCCACGAGAAGATAAGGGCTTTCGCTAGAAATTCCGTGTATCTTGCCCTTGGCTGCATTGGTTCTGGCCAACACACACATGCAACGATGCCAAAAATGAAACTGGGCAGTTGTCGCCATCGCTTTTCATGATGCAGTTGCGGGAAGAAGGTACGATTGAAATTATGACAGCTAGGATCCAGTGCTGAAACGATAGGTTTTCGTCTGCAAACGGATGATCCAATTCCACACTGGGATATCCATTTTGCGTGTTGGGTCCGACAGGTGCAAAACATCGGCAAGAAATGGCAAGAACCAGATCTGCAATGTGCATGCTGCATGTCCAAGGAGCCGTGTCCATCATTCCCACGGCCAATTACACTAAGGTGGTCATTGTGGTGCCCATGTCAGAAAACTCCTCGGTACGGCTTGCAAACAGAATCTTGTGATATCTTGCGTGCTGCCATGTTCTGCCATGTGCCCAATATGTGCCCTTCCATGTGTCAAATTTAAAGAAAAAACGCACATGAGAAAACTTCAACCGTTTAACGTGTGTTAGTGTGAATGGCCTTCCGCAAATGTTGATTGTGATTGGCCAAAGTCAACAAGTCAAACAAGCTCAAACTCAAACATTAAAAAAAACATCTCACCTGTCTGACGTGTCCGAATCCTCTTTTCCAGAACCCAAAGTGATATCATTCTCGTACCTGCTGTCTCTACATTGACGCTACATCGTCAAATTTCGGGGAGGACTGAAATCCCATGAGCGAGGAAGGAAAAATGAAACTGTGCACGCCGTATCCGCAGACTATTCGCAAATGATTCACACTAAGACTTAATTAAGGAATATTAAGGATGTTTGTGATTTTTGCCCTTTGTGCCGGTCCCAGCCTGCAAGAGCCTGGCCACTCCAAGGAGCAAAAGGAATCAGGGTCATCAGCAATGCAAACAGAGCAGTGCCGCAGTGCATGTAAAAATCAACCCAGGACTAGTAACTAGAAAAATGCAAAACATGAGAAATATTGAAAAATTATGAAACATGCTGTAACATGCCGGTTTTGATTCTGAGGAGACTGAGTCACAATGCAATACATTCCATATTTTCGGCCCCAGTTTGTGACCATCTAAGGCGGGATTTTTTCTGCCAAAGATCCTTGCCGGTCAAAAGGGCTGCCTTGGCATTGTGGCACGTCTGAACGGAATTGGTGTCATGTTGGGGTTTCACAATTGGACACTGAAGTGCCTCCTGCCTACTGTTGGCTCTGTGGAAACATACACAAAAGGATGTGTAGGAACCAATTTTGAGAGCAAAGGGGGGAACGAAAGGCATGCAGTTGTGATATGATATGATAGTAATAGTAGCAGGCGATGAGAGGGATGTCACGTACACGATATTTTTTCTCGTTGGCTCCTGTCGCAATCGACCCATCACATTTTCGTGAAGGCATGTGCACAGGCACATGTAGTTGATGTGGATGGTGTGAATACTATTCAGACAAAATGCAGCCGCACGAATGAGCAAAATGGTGATGATAGCGATGAAGACAACAATGAAGATGAGGATGTGGATGAGAATAAAAGCGAGGATGAAGGTGATGATGATGATGATGATGATGATGAATATGGTGATGAATATGGTGATGGTGAGTGTGATGGAGTGACGAGTAATATGTATGTTGCTGCTGTTATTGTCATGATCACTATCGGATCACTATCGCCTTATGCTTTGAGCATTGTTGATAGTATTGTTGTTAATTAGTATATGTTGTTATGATGATGATTGTGGTGATGAGCAACAATAAGGTGAATGATGACCAACACTATCAGGGCTAGGGATGCAGCATGGGGACGGGGATGCGGCTGTCGATGAAGACGATAGCTACGGCTATAACGTCTACAAAATAACGCCCCCAAAATGGAAGCCATGCAAAGCAAGGAAGCGCCGGGAACATTGCATGCAACACCCTCTTTGAACCTCTACCAATTGGTAGCAGCAAGGTGGATGAACAGACTATGTACTGTATCTGAAACTGCGGGGCCTGCCCCTCCCCAAAGTGAAAAATTGCACAAAGTCAATCATGTGCTTCTGGCATTCGCGCCTCCCGGGTCATGCTGGAGATGGCGAAGGCAAAAACGAGCAAAACGCACGTGACCACTCCGAGGCAAAGCACCACCTGACGCTGCCGCAACAGCTGGTCACTTCTGAGGACAGGATTCAGGGACAAGTATGACAAGTGCAACATGATGAATTCATGATGAAACCTTTTGCAACTCTTGGAAGGGTGATGATTCCTCAGAGCATCCAAGCCACACCTGGAGAAGGAACCCTACGCTTCACCCTAATGAATCTAACCAGCTGTCTTCGCAATCAACACTGGCTGACATCTACACATGCTGTATGTATTGGTCAAGTTCAGATCAGTCAACCGCCTGCATGAATGCGTGCGAACACAAGACTTTGAACTCGCACAACTGAATGGAAATGTTGGCGATGTCAGCCACGATGATGGCATACCTGAGAGCAGTGAATGACTCGGAGACCTTGCCGGACCTGACTAGACTTGGCCCAGCCAATCTGAAAAAGATTGTACACAGGGTGATATGCGGCGAAGGATGCTGAAGGAAGAGCTATGAAGTTTCGTGGGAGAATGTTTTTTTGTGGGATATGCGTTCGGACCTCACTTTAGGTTACCGGAGGCCTCAGAAGCGTACCAAAGTGTCATGTTGAAATGGAAGGTGCACAAGAACGCATATCAAGCGTCCCAGCTGCTTGTCCTGGCTCAAGCCCTGTACCAAACATAAATATGTATGCTATATGTCATATTGCTCTTCCATTCGATGGGTGAAAACTAGCAAACAGGCAAAAAAAACGGTGGTCGCGACATGACAGACCCAAACCCGGCAAATCTTCAGCAATCTAACTTTTCACCAGTCGGATCAGAATGCATGCCAGACAGAACGCCAGAACTTTTGCCAGGTAAAATTTGCAAAAGATTTGCCAGATAGAACGCCATATTTGATGCCAGATAGAACGCCCGAAGCGACACCAGAAGAAATTACAGAAAATAGAATGCGAATGTATGCCAGGGTTTATGTGACGGGGGGGTCGGTCGAAGCAAAGAATTGTTTTAAGTCTTTGTTTGTTGTTTTCGGTCTTTCGGTTTTGTTTATTTCACAATAAGCGTTTGTTTTTTTCTCAATTTGATCACAATCAGAAAATTCTGATCACAATCAGAAAAATCTGTTTGTGATCAGAAAATTCACTCAATAATTATCAATTTGATCACAATCAGAAAATTCTGATTGTGATCAGAAAATTCACTCAATAAGCGTTTTTTTCTCAATTTTGCATCAAAAATAAGCAAAATTGAGGGACAAAAACCGCTTATTGAATCTTATTGAGTGAATTTTTCTGATCACAATCAGAATTTTCTGATTGTGATCAGAAAATTCTGATTTGCATTTTTTTTGGAGAACAATCAGAAAATTCTGATCACAATCAGAAAATTCTGATCACAAATCAGAATAATTCTGATCACAAACAGAAAATTCTGATCACAATCAGAAACTTCTGATCACAATCAGAAACTGCTGATCACAATCAGAATAATTCTGATCACAATCAGAAAATTCTATTCACAATCAGAAACTTCTGATCACATCAGAAACTGCTGATCACAATCAGAAACTTCTGATCACAATCAGAAAATTCTGATCACAATCAGAAAATTCTGATTTGCATTTTTTTTGGATAACAATCAGAAAATTCTGATCGCAATCAGAAAATTCTGATCTGCATTTTTTTTGGATAAAAATAACAATCAGAAAATTCTGATCACAATCAGAAATTCTGATCCTTGATGTTCAAGTTGGAGGCTTAAGGTTCAAAACCTGTAGAATCAGAAATGTTCGGATACAAATGGCCAATAAGCGTTCCAAAGTCACAAGTCACCAAAAACAAACGAACAATGCATCAGAAAAACCACTTGATAGTATAGAAACGCTTATAGCAATGCCACGATCAGAATTTTCTGAAAACCAGCTCGCGCGAAACTTCATAGGAAGAGCGCCCTGTTTTTTTTTCCGTTTCCTCTTTGGCACATGTTAAAGTCGGCTTTCTCGGAACCATGGTCCTGGCTGGGAAGAACCATGCCGCATGCCCCTGGACAGGTTTCAAGTAGAACCATGCCCGTCCTAGCCGTCAGAAAAAACATGAATGAAAAGGAGGATGTCTGTGCTGTGCCAGAGTTTTCCTGGTATACAAGTTCCAAGTTTGCGTTGTGACTGCATGTCCCGCGGTGCTTGCCAGCCAAGATGCAAGAAGATGCCAAGAATGGTAAACATCTGATAGGCAAGACCTCAAGCACGAAATCATCCACTGCCAGACCCAGAGACTGGTTTTAAGCCTTATAAGCTATTTTGAGATGGAAAACCCCGTCCAAAATGTTAACAACATGTTCTTCCCCTGCGCAGTTTGGACGTTTAAGTTGCTCCTCTGTGTGCTTTCTGTGTTTCCATCATCATCTACATCTTCTATGCTGTTTTTAAAAGTGACAAGGGACTCATTCCATCCGTCCAAGCCTCGCAGGTGTAGCTGATAGTTTCCTGCAGGCTGAGAATTCCATGAGTCACCACATGTTAATTCACTTGAAGAAGGTCTTTTGATGACAGCTCTATGAGTTTCAGAACCGGAAGTCAAACCTCTAATATAAGTTGGTGGATGGTAGCAGCGCTCTTTTCTTGAATAGACCGTGATATTATGGTTCTAAGTTCTAAGGCACACCCCAACGCAATTTCCTATGTAGGTGTGCTGTCTCTTTCTATTTCCAATGGCGCCCCCATACAATTTTACACCCTGAATAAGCCAACCCAGGCCCACAGGAACGTTTCCTTTCGGCCAGGTCCGGCGATTGAGGACCCGGCTTTCGCTCTATGATGTTGATAGAGGAAAATTAATATGTTATAATTTTATAATATGTTATATATTTATTTCTAAGCGATCTAAGCGTAAGGCAGCTTGATTCATGGAGCATCAAAAAATACCATAATATACCTGCCATCATAGCTACTATGATGTGCATGTGACTAAGGGGTGATACTCCTTACTGCCACAAGACTGAGCGTGAACTAGCGCGAATGGAAACCCTGAAAGAGGTACTGGAAGCATCTGGAAGCTGTGAAGCTGCCGAAGCTGCCTATTTTTCACACCAAATCGATCCAAATCGTCCTTCAACTGGAAACCGAGGACTAGTCAGTGGAGACGGTCTAGGCTAGTCTCCTGCCCCTTTGCAGGGAAGGGTCACGGGGGGAAACGGAAGGACTTACGTGCCCAGTCTCCAACTGATGCTGCGTGCAAAGCAGGCAAACAAGGAAAAAACATCTTCTGGTTTATTCCAACATGCCATGTCAAGACGTGCAACGTTGGATTGTGTTCATCAAATGCAAATTCGAACCTTTCAGAAGTTCAAAGCTGAGCAGGAAAACAAATCGCTATAATATATATATATATATATTATATAATTGTTTGTGCTCTTGTTCATATGCCTGCATATCCCATTCTGCATTTCATTCAATTTAACATTACCTTAGCCATTTCGAGATCGAAAACAGGAAGGCGCGTCTGTGGATTGGGCGTTGGTGTGGGAAGACCCGCACAAATCGAGAAGTGTACAAGGTGCACAAGGCGAAGGACACTTGGGACTCAGGGCTGACCTTAAACAGGTTATGAGCCCAAGGTGACACTCTATGGAAGTGATGCAGAGGCGAAAGGCAACCCCTGAGGAGCTGAAGCAAGGCATGGAGCAGATGATGGCTGCCCAGGAAAGGTTGTCTAAAGAAGCAACTGAGGAACCCATAGAAGATATTCCTGGGTCTCATAGTGATGTAGCTCAAGAGAAAGAGCCTAGGCTAGAAGATGCAAAAGAGTTTCTGGATGTTGGTTCAGAAGGAATTGAGATGTCAAGGGATTTGGCACCATCCCCGCAAGAAGGGCAGAAGGCAGAAAGGAGTTCCACAAAGAGGTTAGAGGATAGCCAGGGTTCAGGGTTCGAAGCACCACCCAAAAACCCCAAAACGGATCTCAGTTTCCGCCCCTGCCGCGCAGAGTTCAGAGCCCGCAGCTAGCGCTGCTCAGAAGCCTGGAGGAGACAGCGTTTCAGGCAAAGGAAAGGGAACGAAAAGAGAAGAAAAGACAGGACAGGACATGGCATGTGACACTCCTGTTAGGCCACCTGTGGAGTCTCAGATGTACACCGCAGGTTTTGAGTCAGGTCCTGATAGATCTCACATGACCACACCTCTGTTTTCAGCACAGCAGCTTAGAGAATGGGAAGAGTTGCATAGCAGAGCACCATGGCTTTACAGGCTCACCGTTCAGAGGCCTGTTTGGCTGGAAGAAGAGGAGCGAAGATCCCGCCTGTTGCAGGAGGAAAGAGCTGAGGAAGAAGAAAGAGCGCGTCGGCTTCAGAGAGAGGCCGAAGTGAATGAGATGAGAAGGAGGCTTCAGTCTCTTGAAGAGGAGAACTTGCGTTTGAAGATGGAGCGAGAGAATTTGCGGCAGAGCATAGCTCAGCAGAAGGGTTCTAGCTATGGCACCCCAGAAGATAAAGATGCTGAAGTTTTTCCCAAGGAGGCTGAGACCACCAAAGAGGAGGCCCAGACCCCCAAGGGAGGATCAGGTGAGGCAGAGGATCAAAAGGAAGAGAACAGAGGGTCAGCTGGAGCTCAGCTGCCGATGAATGAGGAGCGTAAGCTGCAAGCAACAATGATGCAGAGCATGGTGAAGCTCATGGAGGGCATGCAGACTATGCAAGCGCAGATTTTGGACGTTCGGCGTCAGAAAGACGTTGAAGTTGTCAAGAATGCGGCAGTGGAGTTGCCGAAGTTGCAAGAGTGGAAGGCTGATACAGCCCCTTTGGATTTGGCAGACTGGCTGTTGGTCGTAGAACCGGTCCTTTCCACAGGTCCCTCTTCCACTTCAAGATCCACGCTTCCAGAGGTTGGAAAAGCGTGCAACTGCTCTTTTGATGTAAGAGGTGAACACCGTCGGGATCTTGTCCCGGCTCATGCTATGCTATCAACCTGGAGGGCTCTCAGAGAAAGGGGCCATTCTCACGGCCTTAGATTCTCCGGAGGAGGCATCAAGCTTGGCTGGAGCGGTGACTGGTCTTCGACGTTGGCTGCGATGGCATCGAAGGGCTGGAGAAGTTGGTGTTACCCGCCCAGATGCGACTTTGCAAATCAAAGGTCTTGGGCGTTTGATGAAGCACGCCGATTTGGCGTTTAGAGTGCAACTATCGAGAAGCAGTTTGCAAGTGGATACAGCTCCAACTGAAGCGTCAGTGATGACGTTTGCCAACCATCTACTTGCGGAAGTGGAACAAATAGCACATCAAGACAAGAGGAGAAGAGAAGATGCGAAGGGCAGCACAGAACCGAAGGCAAAGAGGCTGGAGGAGGTTTCTGGAGGTTCAAAAGGTGAAGGCAAGGCATGGAAGGGAGAAGTGGGCAGTTTTCGACTCCATGTAAGTTTTTTCAGTCAGAGGAGGGCTGTAAGAAGGGCAAGCAATGCACATGGAGCCATGTCCTGGAAGGAGACCGAAGGGGTTGCTGGACTTGTGGCTCGACAGGCCATTTGGCTCCAGCGTGTGATCGCCCCAAGGAGCCTCTCAGAGACCAAGGCGAGAAAGGTCAGAAGGGAGGAGAAGGCAAGGGTTTCCACAAGCCCAGTGGCAAGGCTTTGAAGAAGGGCGAGAGCCAACAGAAAGAAGAAGGGCCTGGAGGAGAGCTACAAGTGACGAGTCAGCAACATCAGCAGAGACGATGAAAGGTCGGTTGGAAGAAGCCAACAGGATCTTGAAGGGCCTGTCGGCAAGGACAGGAGAAGCCGAAAGCAGGACAAAGGATGAAAGACTGACTGCCATGCAAGGCCAGTTGGATGAACTCCGGAAGCTGAAGGTTTTGAGGCTGTCACGCATAGGGAAGGAACAAGAAGCCTATGGCCTGCTCGACAGTGGAGCAACCAACCCCATGCGTGGCAAAAGAAGAGGAGAAGATCTGTCACAACTGGAAGAGGTCCAGGTGACGCTGGCCGACGGCAGTCAGGTAGGGATGAAGATAACGGCATCAGGAGTCATGGTGGTGGAAGATGAGTGGGCCGAATCCCATTGTCCCACTTGGCCTCCTGACCAGCAAGTTAGGATATGTGGCGTCATGGAAGAAAGGGCGCATGACTCTAAGCCACCCCATTCATGGAAAGGTGGAGGTCTGCATGAGAAGTGGATGTCCTCAGGTATCCCGGCTTGATGCCATGAGGATGATTCAGAAGCTGGAGGAGGTGGAGACGCCAAGAATGCAGGCCCTGAAGCTTAGCCAAGAAGAGATGTGGCTGTGGGAGTTGATGGAAGCCCATCCGGTACTGAAGATGTTGCCGGAAGCCATCAAAAGAAGATTGGTGGTGAAGCCAGCGGAGGATCTCAGAGGTATCCCTGATGCAAACCGCCGAAGAAGAAGAGTGATGGCGGAACAGGGGTTCGTGGTTCACCTCTATGCCGGTGAGAGTGCCGGGTACAGCCTCAGCCGAGCGTTCAAAGAAGCAGGAGGAGATGGACGAAGGCTGGTGGAAATAGATGTAAGGAGGGAAAACCACGAGAAGCACAAGAAAGGAGCACACGACATGCTCGATGATGAGAATGGACCTTTTGCGTCCCTACTGAGGAGTGCCTTGGATGGATCGCTGCTGGGCATTGTCATGGGCCCAAATTGTAGGACGAGGTCAGTTCTTCGTCACTACCCGTTGGCAATCCCAGGAGGAGGTCCTCGGCCGTTGAGGAGTTGGGATCAGCCATGGGGGAAATCAGGTAATACCCCAGAAGAGCAGCGAAGGTAGAGGATGATGATGTGTTGCTTTGGAGAGGACTGATGTTGTTCATCATCAGGGAGGAGGTCAGGAAGGCACTCCACAGTGACAAAATCCCCGTCACTAGGTTGGGATTGGAGCAGCCAGCAGATCCAACCCACTACATTCCCGAGGTGGTCACGCTCTGGAAGACTGAGGAATGGGAACTGCTTCGACGTATGTACGACCTTAAAGCCCAGAGCTTTAAGCAGTCAGCCTGGGGAGGTCGAGCAGTGAAGCCCACGACGTTCGCCGGCAACATCACCCTGAGGCTGCCGGAGGAAGACCAAGCAGAGAGCTAAGAGGAGTCGGCAGCGAAAGCTCGGGTGATGAACTCAGCGGAGCTGTCAAGATGGCCGCCGGGAATGATGAAAGAAGTTGCCACGAGGATCCAACAAGATGTCCTTCAAGCGAAGCTGAAGGCGGCCAAGATGTCATGGGCAGAGCATCTGGAAAGGGGGCACACACCGTTTCGACGTGACTGTAGAGACTGTAGAGTGTGTCAAGAAGCATCAGCCAGAGGTCGGATAAGGTGAATGCATCCCAGAGCAGGTGTGATGAGCCTTGATGTCACCGGTCCCTACAAGAAAGGGAAGGACATCGATGGTGAAGCCAAGTTCATGTTGATTGGCACCTACACCTGGCTCAGACCCCCCGATGAGGAAGAGGCAACAGAAGTTGATGAAGAACCAGAGCTCGAAGCCCAAGAAGATGAGGATCAGTGGCCAGAGATTGAAGATCAAGAAGCCGCACAAGAGGAAGAAGAAGAGCAGGCAGAAGCAGCAGAAGACCCCCAGGAAGAGCAACAAGCAGAACCCCCACGAGCATTTGAGGAGCCCCCCGAACCCCCAAAGATTGAGGTGATGAGAATCGGCATTCCCATCAAAGGGAAGCACAAGAAGCAGTCTTGAGTGGCTTCATTGAGTTGTACCTTCAGTTGAAGGTAGATGGTTTTCCGGTGCATGCAGTGCACACGGATCGAGGACGTGAATTCGTCAATCGACGATTCAGAAGATGGTTAAGATGCAGAGGAGTTGTGCATTCATCCAACGGAGGAGAAGATCCTATGGCCAACGGAAGAGCCGAAAGGGCTGTTGGTGAAGTGAAGAGAAGAATAAGAAGGATTCTCCACGGCTCGGAGATGGATGTGTGTTGGTGGCCTATGGCACTCAGGTTCCTGATGGAGTCGGCCAGACTGAGGAGAAAGAAGGAGGGCATCAAAATTCCCCAGTTTGGGGAGAAGTTACTGGTGAAGACAAGGAACTGGCGCACAAAGGCATTTCAACCCACACATGAAGCAGCACGATACTACGATACTTGGCACCAGCCATAGAGGCACATGGGCATTGCGTGCTAAGAGAAGATGGACGTTGGGGTGTTGCCCCTTATGTGGTTCGAAGCATACAGGAACCACCGCCGCCCAAAGATGAAATGTGGCTGGCAATCGCAGAGGAGGTGGAAAAAGATGAAGTCCAGGAGAGGAGAAGGATCAGAGAGAAGAGGCCTATCAGGGATGGAGGACTGGAAGGCCTTTTGGGGATCAGAAGAATGATCCAAGAAGAAGCACAGAGTGTGGAGATGGACCAGCTGGATAACGCACTGCTCACCTTTCAGAAGATGGACCCTTGGAAGAATGTGATGAAAAGGGCGGAAGGAGCAGAGCAGGAGATTCTACAGACAAAGATAGTCTCTCCGCAAGAGCTGGTGAAGGATGTCCACCTCTGGGATGAAGCCATTAAGGCCGAGCTAGATGCTCTCCTTAATGCCAAGGAAGCTTTGAGGAAGATCACGTCAGAAGAAAAGGCCAGGCTAGAGGAGAGGCATCCCGACCTGCCCGTGGTGCCCTCGAAGTTGGTCATCACGAGAAAGGCAGGTGGTCGCCGAAAGGTGCGGATTGTGGCTTGCGGAAACTATGTCGAGAAGACTGAGAAGGAAGATGTCTTTGCTAGTGGATCAGATTCCATTAGCTTCCGCATAGCACTGAAGAAGAGCTTGGATGAGGGATGGACAGGAGCCACAGCCGATATCAGAACGGCGTTTTTGAATGCACCTCTCGGTAGGTCGGCAGAAGCTTTGGAGGGCCTATGGAAGAAAGAAGAGCTCGAGGAGCTAGGCCAAGAAGTAGTGGTAGTTCTGGTCAAGCCACCAGCCCTGCTGATCAAGCTCGGCTACATCAGCCCCGAAGACTGGTGGGTCGCAGTCAAGGCGGTCTACGGGCTGAGACAGAGCCCCAAGGCTTGGGGTGACCACAGGGGCTCCGGGGTGAGCATGATGGAATGGGGCTGCCAGGGCGGAATCAGAGCCCTGGTTCAATCCACCACAAGAGGTCCGGTGGGCTGGATGAGGAGATGGAGGGGCTATGTGTGGTGTATGTTGGTGACCTGATGGTCTTATCCCAAGAGCACATTGTCAAGGAGTGCCTTGAGAGGATATCCCGAGAGTGGGAAATAAGCACCCCGGAATGGCTAAACGAGGTCAAGCCAGTCAAATTCCTGGGGATGGAGGTCTTGATGGGCACAAAGAGTGCTTTCATCACACAAGAGAGCTACGTACAGGACCTCCTCAGACGAAATGGCGAAGAGGAAGGCCATAAGTCTGGAATTCCGATCTCAAAGGATCAGGTGTTGAGGTTGGAAGAAGAAGACCACACGAAAAGCCCAGAAGACGTCAAGGCCGCACAGCGTGCCACTGGCGAGCTGATGATGTGGCTTGTCACACGCAGCCGTCCAGATTTGATGTTTGCACTGAGTAAGATGTCCCAAGCCACACTGAAGAACCCCAAAGAAGTCCTCATGGTCGCCAAGCAGGTGTGGAAATATTTGAGGAAGACCAAGGCAGAAGGTCTGGAGCTGAAGGCTGGCGGTAAGGACCTTGAGGTTTATACAGATTCCTCCTACGGACCAGGTAGTCTCGACTCCCAAGGAACTGTATTGGTGTTATGGGGAAAAAGCCCCATCATGTGGAAATCGGGCCGACAAGGAGCGCCTGCCCTCTCAACAGCTGAGAGTGAGCTGACAGAGGGAATTGATGGAATGATCATGGGGGATAGTGTGGATGTTCTCATTCTGGAGCTCAGCCAGGATACATATGCCAAGGTGATCAAGATAGACAACACAGCAGCAGTGAGCTTGATGACAGAAGCTGCTGGAAGTTGGCGCACACGCCATCTGAGATTGAGGGCGTCCCATCTGCGGTGGAGGATTGGACGATTGGATTGGGTGGTGGAGGCGATCTCAGGACAGGTGCAGATTGCAGACATTGGGACAAAGGCCCTCACAGCTCCGAGGTTAGAGGAGTTGAAGCAGATGATGGGCATGAAGCAGAGAAGAGATGATCAAGAGGAGGAGAAGCAGGAGCAGAAGGATGCAGGATCGAGCCAGCACATGAAGAAAGGAGTAGAGGAGACAGGGCTTCAGGAGGCAGGAGCAGAGGTTGAGAGGATTTTGAGGATGGTCATCCTCCTCTGCAGCGTCCAACAGGCCAAGGCTCAAGAACAAGAAGAGGAGGAGGGTTGGAGCTCTTTAGCTCAACTTGTAGCTCTGACGGTGTTTGCCATGATCGGCGTTACGACATGCATAGGCTGGATGGTGAGGTTGATGACCCCAGTGAGGAGGAGCTTGGAAGAAGAAGAATTGAAGAAGAGAGTGAAAGAAGCACTCTCGGCACACTCGAGCCAGAGGGACGCGAGTCGTGCACAGGAGTCAAGCCATGGAAGGGCGACTTCGACGAGGAAGGAGCAGGGCCATGAGGATGAAGGAGGAAGACAGCAGCAGACGGCAGCCAGCTAAACATCTGGAGTTCACACACCAGAGGAGCCAGCATCTAGTTCTCAAGCAGTCCCCCCATCCCAGATCTCCGTGAAGGCCCGCCACCAATTACCAAACAAGCTCCGCTACCAGCACCAGCCAGCACCCAACACCAGAGAATAGTGCCAACTATGACGATGAGCGGGAACACATGGACCCCGGAGAAGAAAGAGGCCAGAGGGCGGTGAGAGGAAGCATCCGATCACCAATTTTTGTGACTCCATGGGGTGCCCGCTATCATGAATACACAAGTTGTCCTACTTTGGCCAACACAAAGAGATTTGTGCCGTGTCAGTGGTGCGATGTTTGCGCCCCACTCGGAAAGACTGGAGACCAACCGGTGTACACGTGTGGACCGGGTTCGAAAGCGCACTACGATTCCGATTGCGTTGCGATGACTGACTCTGGAAGAAAGTATCAGAAATGTCAGCGCTGCGTGGATGCGACTTAGCGAGTGAGAGACGGCTTGAGTCAATCTTGGAAGGTCACCGTTTTTAGGTTTTTGTTACCTTCCACTGGCACCGAATGCTTGTGGCCATGGATGGAAATTCCCATGCCAATTGAATTTTCCAAATGCGTCAAATGTGTAATCTGCAGATGGGCATCGCAGATTAGGAGGAGTGTTTGTGATCTTGTTCATATGCCTGCATATCCCATTCTGCATTTCATTCAATTTAACATTACCTTAGCCGTTTCGAGATCGAAAACAAGAAGGCGCGTCTGTGGATTGGGCGTTGGTGTGGGAAGACCCGCACAAATCGAGAAGTGTACAAGGTGCACAAGGCGAAGGACACTTGGGACTCAGGGCCGACCTTAAACAATAATATATATATATAATATATTACCCACAAACGCCGCGTGTTGCCCGGACAGTAACATTGAGGACGTCGTGTTGTCGAATATGATAGGATATGATAGGAGAGATAGCAGAAAAGACTGCATATACGCAGTGTTTCTGGTTTAGGATTCAAAGTTTTTCAGGGTTTAGGTTTTAGGGTTTAAGATGGTTTAAGGTTTGAGGGTTTAGGGTTTAGGGTTTTAGGGTTTGGGGTTTTGGGTGTGTTGTTTGGGAATCTCAACGCACTGGCCCTGCGCAGGTGTTTGAGCATGTTGAAGGATAATGTTCAATAAGCCATTTGAACTTTCCGGGCAATATCCAGCGCCTGGCCGTAATACTATATAAATACATATAAATACTATAATATATATTTTTATAAATATATATCTTGACGTTGGTTTCATCATGTTTGGTCCTTATTTACAGTACATCCATAGTGCATCTTGAGCGGCCTCTAAGATCCTTTAAGACAAATACTCTTATCATAATTTACTTGGAATGGCATTGTATGTGGATGGTAGCGGCATACTGATGTTAAGGCAACGTCATTTTGCGCATAGAAAATCATGAAGCATCCCGAAGCATCATGCTTATCCTTCAAATTCTCATGAACCCTTGTGGAAATCAGAACCCCGGACGCTCCAGTGCTGCCTGGGCAACAAGGCAATGGAACAACGGCTCAACCTTCCAAAAGGCACTACGCGCAGGAAACGCACGACGCACTGACTCCATGCGACAACTCGACGGCCCCACAAGGATTGCAAGGTAACAAGGATATGCAAAGTGATGCAAGGGTACATACACAGCAACATCTTGTCACAAGGGGCGTCTCACACGATTTTTCTGGAACTTTCTCCCACTCTCAAAACATGGTGGTTTAATGTCGATCCACGTTTGAAACATGTCCGCATGTGCTTTTTCAGCAACGTCTGTCGTCCCGGACCGTCATCATGGCAATCATGTTGAGCATCAGGGCGAAGCTGAAGAGCTCGGGACCACGCATCAAATATCGCGGAAGCTTCACGGCGAAAACCTTTTCGGTGTCCTCTGCAGACTCACTAGTTTTTCACATCCTTTTGTTCATTCAACTTCAACAGGTGGAAATTTAAAAACCGAACGGCAAGCCCTCACAGATCAGTTTCAAGCGGTTCCCAAATAGTACTGAAGGTTTCTCACTACTCCAAAGACTGGACTCTTAGGATTTTTTCTTCAAAATTCAAAAGGCAACTCAAAAAAAGGCATGAATTCGAAATGGATGAAAACATCG